TGGGGAATTGAATTCAGATGACATTCTCGAATTTGATATTAGAAAAATGTTTCATCATTTGGTCTTATGGGATTGAGTTCACAAGAATTCCTCAAGAATATTAAGAGCGCATAATTTGTTCTGCTTCAACTGAAACGTAAATGAAATGTCCTACATTTTGTATGAAGTTGGAAGGATCAATGTGGCAGTTTGAAGTGCACTCAACATACCAATATCTTAGTCCTTGTCACTTCAAGGGACAATGAGTTTTGTTTTTTTAGTTTAAATTGCTGTGCGATTTTTCCTATCCCAAGATCCAATCTGAAATTAGAATTGATACTGTCCAATCTTTGGACAATTGAAATTTTAACAAACAGTAAGATTTCTGTGAACAATAATAGCTTTAGCTTTTATTTGATAGACTCATAGAAGTAAATGTATGATGGAATCACAAGGGATGGTATAGATTTATGCAACGTACTTTGCAAGACCTCTCAATTTCCAGGTTATCATTGCCTTGGGTGTGGAGATGTTGTTTCTTATTTCTCACTTGTTTGTTATTATTTGTGTAGATGGTGTCGGAATCAATCCTCAGCAAAGCGCAGGTATGCCAGTGCTTTACCTTTGTTGCTGTAATTTTAAGTTATCTATTCATTTTTGCATATCAAATAGGGCCCATTGGAACAAAATATATAAAACTTAAAACCTATCGTCGCGGGATAATTATCAGCAGTCGACTTCAAAACTAGTAGGGGTATAAATAGGAGTTCAAGGATTCTCATTATGAAGAATATTTAGTTGTGCTTAGTTTCAATGCTATGCTATGATGTATGTTCATGTACACAAAAAAACAAATGTCGCTATGTGCACTCCCCAAACAGATAGATATTAAATTGTCAATTAGAATAATTGTGGTACTGAATTCATCATTATTGTTAGCATGGATTAGACCCTTGGTTTCACACAACCTTTGACTGGCTTTCTCAGGGAATGTATTCCTCAAGCATGGTTCTGAACTACGCCTGATTCCTCGAGATAGGGTTGGGGCTTTTGGAACAATGGACGCTGCATTACAATCAAACTGAAGAGATTGGTCTACTTCTGGTTGCGGTTCTATTCCCTTTTTATGATCTTGTACCTTATTAAGTTGGGAGGATTTTCAAACTTTAGTTGACGGTTGAACGAGATAGCAGGTGAGTGTAATAGATGCTCTTAAATAATATTGAAAATTTGAAAGGATAATATTACAGTTCTGTTGTTTTTGTTGTAGATTCATCTGTGGTTTCTGTTGGAGATGAATCTCTCCTGCATAGCAATTTGATGATGGTTCTGATATAGCAATTTGATTAAATTTTAGGTGGCTAAGAAGTGTTGCACTGCTCCAAAATTCCTTTTGTTTAAACCCTCTCAGGTTTTACAAGTTCTTGCTGGTTATTTTTCCGTCTTTTTTAGCGTGCGTTTTTAATTATGTTTTTTTTGGAACTTGGAAGATGTAATATTATTATTTTGAATGTATTGTTAATCTATGAACTTGGATATTGGACTTTGTATTTAGATTGGATGTGAATAATGGTGAATTTGTGCAAAATATGCGTAAATGCAATATGTGACTTTTTGCAGTTGCAATCTGTGCAAATCTGTGCAGTTTGCAATCTGTGCAAATCTGTGCAGTTTGCAATCTGTGCAGTTTTGTGCAGATTGTGCAAATCTGTGCAGTTTTGTGCAGATTGCAATCTGTGAATATGTACAATTTTTTTTTTCTTTCAAACAACCAAAAAAAAAAAATGGACCCGTGGACCCGGCCCGAACCAGCCCGTTTCAACCGGTCCGGGTAATGTCCGGTTCTTATATTAAAAAATGTAATCCCCGGCCCGGCCCGCCCCGTTCCCTTTGAACCTAGGTCCGGTCCGGTCCCTTCAAAATTGGGCCCGGCCCGGCCCGTGCCCAGCCCTATTGCAAACTGGTTTAAGCCGCCTTAAAAAGAATATCAAGTTGAGTTTAAGTGTTGTTTAAATTTTCTTATTTATTTTATGTCAACTATTTTTCATTACGTTCTCTCTGTCTCTTTAAACTCTTTTGTCCTTCTTTTTCAGTGAACTAGTGGGTGGCTCCACATTAGCACCAAAAACGATCAAAATCAAATTAATTGCAGGGCAGGCTGACAAATAAAAATAGTCAGTACAAATTTCGTGTCGACCCAACTCATAAGGAGTCTGTTCTGAGGGTACTTCTAGTGAACAAGAAGACGCTACCGCAAGGTTATTTATTTACCACCGATATGGCAGTAGTGAATAAAGATAAAAGTTTCCTTGACTAGGGGATGGTGGGTGTGGGAGTCCCGAAGCTGTACGTGTTGGACTCCGTCTCCAATTTATCTAGACATTAATTCATATGGGAATAATTATTGCAATTATTATTCGACATCAGACCCAAAACTAGTTGGGATGAAAGTAGATGCAAATTAATCTTTGTTCAACCTTTTGAGTTTTTACTAGAATAACAATCTTTCTACTTGTACTGCCCTCTGCTTTGATATATACAAGTACTGCAAACTGGTTTGAGCTGCCTTAAAAAGAAGATCAAGTTGAGTTTAAGTGTCGTTTAAATTTTCATATTTATTTTATGTTAGTTGCTTTTCATTACGTTTCTCTCTGTCTCTATAAACTCTTTTGTCCTTTTTTAGTGAACCAGTGGGTGGCTCCACGTCAGCACCAAAAACGATCGAAATCAAAGTAGAATTGCAGGGAATGCTGACAAATAAAAAGAGTCGGTACAAATTTTGCGTCGACCCAACTCATAAAGAGTCTGTCCTGAGGGTACTTCTAGTGAACAAGAAGGCCTACTTACCGCAAGGTTATTTCTTTGCCACCAATATGACAGCAGTGAACGAAGATAGAAGTTTTCTAGACCAGGGGATGATGGGTGTGGGAGTCACGAAACTATACGTTCTGGACTCCGTCTTCAAATTTCTCGACATTAATTCATATGGGAATAATTATTGCAAATACTATTCGACATCAGACCCAAAACTAATTGGGATCAAAGTAGATGCAAATTAATCTTTGCTTAACCTTTTGAGTTTTTGCTAGAATATGTACTGCAAACTGGTTTGAGGTGCCTTACATCTTGGAGCTAGTTTTACTTTCTTTCTCCAAAATCTGCTCATTCGTTTAACTTCTTGCGGTAATTAAGCTTGTGTTCGCGCCTAATGAAGTTGAATTTAAATTATAACTAGCTGTAGACAAGAAATTATTCCTTCTGTGCAATTTAAAAAGAAAATCAAGTTGAGTTTAAGAGAGCAGCTCTCCATTATTTGGTCACCAAATTTACAAATCATCAAAAGAAAAATTACTGGAAAAACGGATTCATTCAGTTCCATCATAATTTTACATGATCATCTAGAACAAAACACCAAAGACAATAAAAGAAACACTAAAATTATTAAGGGGAGAAATTAAAAGCCGGTGAAAATTGTCTTACAAATCTTCATTCCATGCCAAGTTCTGCAGCCACTAAAATTAATAGTTATTCAAGTAGCTGCTTCCGAATAAGCACTGCGGCGCTGCACTCCTACAGGCACACAAATTCTATACTAGTAGGCACTTTTTTCTTGAGGTGTTGGATAGCATGATCTCTTGCATTCTCTTTCTCATTCTCCAATAGGGCATCGCTATCGAATCCCCAAGGCCAACCCCAAAACCGGACAGGATTTATAACAATCTTCTCCAGTGCAACAGCATTCTTCACCAAGTACCTGACATGCTTTACGCAACACTTGTGACCCCGATACCCTGCTATTTCTACCACCTTGAGGCAGTGATGGGGTTGTTTGGAAACTTTCTCTAGTACTGCCATGTCCTTGTTGGAAGTTCTGAACCCCAACTGCAACAAGGAAAGCAAACAAAACCAGATTCAAAACAAACCCCGTTATTCATTCTTTTGGTTCTTCGAGAATACAGGTAACAGAGAGATGAAAGGATATGAACGCACAAAAACATTCATACATATATCAACTTTTATTTGGTAACCTATCAATAACAAAGGCATACAATACATACATACCCCCAAAACAAAGCTGCGCACGTCAGGAGCTGCCTTCATGAAAGACGCTAAGCGACCAAGGGACAGACAGTAGTCGGCATCCACTAATAATTCCAAAGGCTTTAGATTTGATAACACGGGAAACGCATGATTCTGATTGTAGACCTGAAAGCCAACAACTGAGTAAGGGACGCGACAATACTTGATCTCAACCAAATAACATGGGATAAGTATGCTTACCGCTCCCCTGATATCCAGCTTCAGGGTCTCTAAATGAGAAAGACGGCACGAGAGTTGACTGAACGCAAGCCTTATGAATTCAGGCGCCTTTCCCGGTCTCTCACTTGTTCTTCGAGGCCCAAGAAGCAGTACATAGCATCGCCTACTTCAAAACTAAAGTTGACCCTCCTTCAAAAAAAATTTTAGGCTACACCACTGAGACTAACCATCGTGATTATTTTCCCTTTTTTCATTGACAACCATCACTAAACTTGCGTAGTCAATTGCAACAATTCTTCATAATTCTTCGTAAAGGGAAAATAATCATGATGGTGCAAGGAATAGTACAATTAAAATCAAAATATCGTCCAATGCCTGCATGTCCCAATAAATAAATACAAGGCGTTCTACAACATTCAAATGACTTCAACATAGCACTACTTCAAGTTCGGCTGACTATCTATTCAAGTCTCTTCCACCAAGTAATCATTGAGTCCTTGTTTAAAGAAGTTATCCTATAAGCCTTCTCGGCAAAATGAGGTATTCCCAATTGATGTTCGGTGCAGTAAAAGTCGAACCACATTTGAAATTCGGAGTAACTAGCAGCCTTGTTTTCGATGTAACTGGCAGTCTTGTCTTCATTTAAGGGCCGATTTAATGTGGGCTGGAATAAATTGTCCATTGGGCTTTTGGGTGAAAGTAATTAGAAGGCCTTCGTCTAGGGTTTTAGTTGTTACAGACCCTATAAAACGAGCACGATGGCTGCCTACAATTCGTTAACCTTCAATTCGCAGACCTGAGTCTGGAGGCCCGAGCCGCCGTTGCAGAATATTACTATTACTCTCCTCCTCTTGGTGATCGCCCTGCTTCATATGACCTTCTGAATTCAGGGAACTTCTGGATTCGGGGCCTGCATATGGACAGGGTGGTTACCAATGGGATGACGGTGATATTTAATTCATGATGTTGGCAAACTCGTCGGAAAATCGACGCCGGCGCTGGAAAACTCACCGGGGACAGAGCTCTGAAGTGGCCGCCATACCACTCCTCTCGCTGACATTTCACGAAGAAGATAAGGAACACGAAAATTATGCTAAAGTTCAGTGCTTTTTGTTGTTTTACTTTGTTTTTGTGTTCTAGGGTTTCAGGGTTTGGTTGCTGCCTGCTGGTGACAGGGTTCGAAAGCTCGAGAATTTTGACCTTTAGCGAGGACTTGTTCTTTCTGTATGAATCAACTCTCAATTCTATGAAATTTCAATTTCGACTTCAATGCCTGTTTTGAAATTTATTTCATGATGTTCGAGTTGCGATCTCAAATATCGCCTTTGTGCTTGAATTTATGATGCAAATCTTAAATTTTGTAACTCGTCTAAATTTGGAGTATGTGAGATTAGATATATTCTGAGATCGTGTTTTTCCTTCTTTGAAAACTGTCCCCGAAAGCCGTCATCTCCTAGCTCAGTCTACTGGTTATTATTTCAGGGCTGCCCTTCGGTCGAGTGTTTGCCACTAACTTCACTTATCATGGCCTTTCAATTGAAATGGCACTAGATATGTTTTGACATGCTCGTTCTGCGCATTTGATATGTTTTGACATGCTCGTTCTGTGCAAGTCTTTCATCTCTGGTAGTTTCTCTAACAATTAATCATAAACTCCTTTCTAGTGTTAATCAGACAGCTTCTATGATGATTAAACCTTGATATCCCAAAATTAATCCAAGTTTTGATCAAATATCTAAATCAGTTTTTCGTGTAATTCTTTTCTTCCGAAAGTAAATTATTTTTTCATAATTAGTTAGGCAATTGATGCAAAAGTTTTTGTTTATTGTTAATTTCGTTTTTGATTTATTCATATTAGGGTTACAGATTAGATTGTTAATTTCGTTTTGTGCTTGTGTGTGTAATGATGTAGAGAGAGAGTAGTAGTGTTGCAGCAGCAAAATGAAAATGGGACAGGATATGTTGTTGGAAATCCTATCAAATCTGCCTCCCAAAACTCTGATGCGATTCAAATGCGTCTCTAAATGGTGGTATGCTTGCATCACCAATCCGAGTTTCGCATTGAAGCACCTCTCCAACTCCGCCAACAACAGCCTCACCACTCGCGACCTCCTTTTCAAGAGATTAGTAGTGCAGCGGCAGCATGAGGAGGAGGAAACTGAACAAGTATTCCTGTTGCTGAAGTTATGCAAAGACGATGATAATATCAATGACGAGGATAGCAATTAGCTACTCTCTTGTTGGTGTCCGATGAGCCATGCCTTCCAATGTGGCCCACATTAGGTTTGGACCCGCAGGAGGATTACAATTGGCCAGAACATATTGATACTGATTTTCATCCTGGATTTGGCTATGATCCCAAATCTAACGAGTACAAATTTGTGGCCTTTACTACTTATACTCAAGAGCTAGATGACATTATGACACTTACTACTCCACACAAAACGGGAGTATCACCATCAGTTGTGATTCTTGGGAAGAGCTCGACACCGTTCTTTAGAAGCTGAAACTACTTTGTTTTGGACAGGTTCCTGATGTGCTTCAGGGTATGTGTTTTTGGATGGGAATTCAGCAAGATAAGGAAATATCTGTTTATGACACTTTTGATGACCCTGAAGGCGGGCGAGGTATTTCGTAGTATACCCGAACCATCTGAGCTCCAACGATTACCCCTGGGGTGTGACCTTGATTTGAAGCTTATTGTGTAGAATGAATCAGTTTCTTATGGTTCACAATGATGGACGTGTAGTTTGCTTTAATCTTTGTACTAAAAAGCTTATGTATATTCCCATTGAAACACGAGGTGAGTTTGTTGGTTATGTGAATAGCATAGTTTCGGTCAAGGGACGCAACCACAGGCCTGAGAGCATGGAGAATAATTGCTCAGACAAAGATGGAGATGCGATGGTGGCGGTAGACGGGAAGAGGGAAAGCTGCAGGAGGCAGTACACGTATTCCGTTTAGGCCATCCAACCGGCTGATGTTTCCCATAGAATCAAGAGGGTGATGGAGGGCCTCCGGGCAGAGTTTGATGCGTTTCCCTGTAAACAGTAAGTTGCTGTTTACATTAACTTTTGAGCTGTTTTTAATTTTTTTTGTTTTCACGAAAGCTTCCTTTTAAATTTCTTCTTGTTGTTTACGGGAATGTTCATATGTAATCTGTCTGTCTGCAATATTTGATGGATGCAGGTTCTATGCCATATTTAAGCCTCCTCTACGGGAAGTCGACGGAAGAAGAAGAAGAAGAGGAAAAAAGCTCGAGAACTGGTTAATGCTCTGGATGAGGGCATTACTAGCTTGACCTTCCGCGTAACTCGCTTTGCATTGTATGAAATCGACTACGATGACAAATCTCTGAATTCTTGGACGAAGATTGATGAAATCGACCATTAGACAAGTTCTCTGAATTCATATAATTGCAAGCAAGTTAGCAACTCTGAGGTCGAACAAAGTTATAATATATCAATCATTTGCAAACGTGGAGTAATATATCAATATCAAAGGATCCAGGGAACGAAAAGGGAGTTATTGATAGTATATCCAATGAACCAATGAAGAGTTCTCTAGGCCGCAATCATTTTTTTCATCTGAATATGTAGATAATATCGTTTGTTTAAAAAAATGATTCAACATTAATTAAGGGTGAAGCTAAAGAGATCATCTTTTTGGATCATATTTATAGATCACATGATGATGATGTGAAGATTGATGATTAAATTATTTCTTTAAACTATTAAAATAACCATTAATAATCATCTCATTTGATTTTAAAATGTAATCTAAAAAGATTATTTTCCCAGAATTTTTCATTAATTAATCCGCCCTCGCCCTGGTTTAATTAGCGGTACAACAAAACACATTATTTCCTTGGAGTCCTTAATAATTCTCACCCAATTAAAATTAAGTTAAATTAATCATATAAAAACAAAATATTTGAAATGCCAAAAATACAAAGGAATGGCGAGCAGAGACATGAACAGCCCTACAATCTATTCAGCTCTCATAGTCTCACTCTCTCCAAATGGAAAGGGCCAAAAGTCTGAGGTGTTTAGTTGAATGTTACCTGAACAAGTAGATGATGAATGATCAAGAGACAGAGAGGCACGTAAGAGGATCTTCGTCCATTGGGCCGGATATCTGATCTCCTCTGTCACTGACCTGCTGGACCCTGTGACTTCCAATGATCAAGATACAAAGAAAGGCTCGTAAGAGGACCTTTGTCCATTGGGTCGGCTATCAGATCTCCTCAGTCACTAACTGCTGGACCCTGTGGCTTCCAATGATCAAGAGACAAAGAAAGGCTTGTAAGAGGACCTTTGTCCATTGGGTCAGCTATCAGATCTCCTCTGTCACTAACTGCTGGACCCTGTGGCTTCCAATGATCAAGAGACAAAGAAAGGCTCGAAAGAGGATCTTCGTCCATTGGGTCGGCTATCTGATCTTCTCTGTCACTGACTGCCGGACTTTGTGGCTTCCAATGATGAAGGGATAAAGAAAGACGTGCAAGAAGATCTTCCTGCATTGGGCTGGATATCTGATCTCCTCTGTCACTGACTGCCGGACCCTCTAGCTGGAAGAGTATTGGGAGATTCTCAGGACGAGTTTGAGGCTGAATATGAGGGCCTGCAGGAAAAATACCATGAGGCAAGGAAAAACGTGAATGCGCAAGGATGACACGATCATGATCATGCACTGCTATAGTACTACCCATGTAATTACTGAGATCATAATTATTAGATGGCTCATAATTATCAGCTGACTCCTCATAGAACCGAGCTGGATGTCGGTAAAAAACACAACTAGCTTGATCCAAATCATTCGTATTTTCCTTTATAGGTTTGTTCCACATCTAGATTAACCATTGTTCTCATTGATGGCAAATGATGGCAAAATGTTTGAAAAGTGGAGAAAATGTCGGAAATTTTCTATTGAGAAATCCATCATTTCAACTCTCATAGTCTCACTATCTCCAAATGGTAAAGGCCAAGAGACTCAGGTGTGTGGCTGAATGTTACCTGAACAAGTAGATGATGAATGATCAAGAGACAGAGAGAGGCACGTAAGAGGATCTTCGTCCACTGGGTAGAGTGCTGAGAGAATCTTAGGACGAGTTTGAGGCTGAATATGATGGCCTGCAAGAAAACTATTAGAAGACGAGGAAAAACGTGAATGCGCAAGGCTGAGAGGACCATGAGCATGCATTGCTATAGTACTACCGATGGAATTACTGGGATCATAATCATTAGATGGCTCAGAACTATAAGATGACTCCTCATAGAACCGAGCTAGATGATGGTCAAAAACATAACTAGCTTGGTCCAAATCATGTATATTTTCCTTTATAAGTTTGTTCCACACTAGATTAACCATTGTTCTCATTGATGGCAAATGATGGCAAAATGTTTGAAAGTGGAGAAAATTTTGGAGATTTTCTATTGAGAAATCCATCATTTCTTAGTCTTGTGGAGGATATAGTCTCACTAACTCCAAATGGTAAAGGCCAAGAGACTCAGGTGTGTGGCTGAATGTTACCTGAACAAGTAGATGATGAATAATCAAGAGACAGAGAGAGGTGCGTAAGAGGATCATCGTCCACTGGGTAGGGTACTGAGAGATTCTCAGGACGAGTTTGAGGCTGAATATGATGGCCTGCAGGAAAAGTATTAGACGACGAGGAAAAATATGAATCCGCAAGTCTGAGAGGACCATGAGCATGCACTGCTATAGTACTACCGATGGAATTACTGAGATCATAATCATTAGATGACTCCTCATAGAATCGAGATGGATGATGGTCAAAAACATAACTAGCTTGGTCCAAATCATGCGTATTTTCCTTCATAGGTTTGTTCCACACTAGATTAACCATTGTTCTCATTAATGGCCAATAATAATCAGATTTTCTTGAATTGAAGTACTATAACGTCAACTTTATCCCCACTTTGCAATTTGAGCTTATCGTTCGAGAGTTGTACTTGCCAAAGTATGTGCCAAAGATTACAGTTTGAAGGCTTATCCCAATATCCGTTGCCAAAGTAAGCCTGCAACTTAGTACGCTTGGTACGATTTATAACAGTAATGCCAAATTCAAAATTAATTTCAAATCCATATTTGTGCAAGAAGCACAGAGTCAGCCCTTCAAAAGTACGACCATCATTCGGGGGAATATCAAAACTGACTGTAGTGCCATGGTCAACAAACTCAAACCAATCAGGAACAAAATTCCCATAAAGTAAAATGCCACCAAATCCGCACGAAGTCCATCCCTACATATACAATGCAAGTGTCATATATATACATGTAAACATGTGTTTGTGTGTGCATGTGCACTATGGGAAGGCAATGAGAGAGAGAGTGAGATACCTGTAGGATGTTCTTCCCAAAATCAGCTATGAGATTGGTGCAGTTACTCATATCAATCAATGTCATGAAGTTTAATGACTTATCCAAGCCTGGAACCTCAATGAGTTTGGGTGAATCACTTACCTTCAACTTTCTCATTTTTGACATTTCCGAAAAATTGGGCATTGTTTCCAATGCAGGACAATTAGCGGCATACAGAATTTCAAATTTGTTGGTAAATCAGGGATTGTACGAAGGTTAAAGCAATCATTTAACCTCAATGTTTCAAGCTTTGTAAGACCACTGAGGCTGGGTAGGATATGGAAATCATTCCCTTGAAGATCCAAAACTTGTAAAGAAATTAAACTCCCAAGATCCCGAGGGATTGCATCATGACCCAATTTCACACCGTTTAAGGATAAAAGAGTGAGATTCTCCAATCTAACTGTGGAAGATGGTATTTGTCTTATGGCTGTATGCTCTGCTTCAAGTATTCTCAATGATGTCATCTCCCCTAAATCCTCATGCACTTCTCTGAATTCTAAACAATCATTAAGAAGAAGAGTCTTAACATATTTCAACTTATAGAAATCCCTTGGAAGAGAACGAAGCTTTTCGCATTCTTTAAGGTTCACCAAAGAAAGTCTTTTAAGTTGACCAATGGAGGGGTGAATCTCGGACAAACTCCCACAATTTTCTAGTATCAACTCTTCAAGATATGGGACTTGTGAAAAGTCCGGTGATTGAATTAGAGATAGGGAATGACTGAGATTCATGATTTTCAACCTCTTTAGCAACTGTTACAGAAAACCAAAGGAAAATTGAAATTAATATCCAAAAGGAAGATGTCATAAAAAAAGAAGGAAATCCAAAAACAAGTAGAAACAGAACATCATCATGTGTAATTGATCGTACCTTATAGCCCTCCCAAACTTGTACCAGTTTGCTATACTGCATATCTAAAACTACTAGTCTTGGTTGATCAAAAAAGTCATCTGGTATGGACTTTAAAGGGCATCCTACCCAACACAACCATATTAACTCTTTGGGAAGATGTTTGTATTCTCCATTGAGCTGAACGTATTTGAGATGAAGGAATCTCAGTTTCTTCATATTGGCAAATGCTTCTGTACTAAAACTACACAATTTAGAGCTTCGAGGCCAAGGATCAGGGAAATTTAGAGCAAGTCCTTCAACTTCTTCAGTTCCCTGTTAACAAAAATGTGTAAGAAACGGATTATTTGCATATATTTACATGTATTATTATTCATTAGGCAAAATCACCTACGGTGAATATATTTACACGTAAATGTTGTTTAGCGTATAATAGACATACGTAGGTTACATATATGTTTTCAAGTAGGATGCATTAATGCAAAATTTTATTGGGAATGTACTTACAGATTTATTTCTCAAGACATTGGCGACCTCTCGACGGTTCCACAACCTACTCCATTTTCCAGGGTGACCAAGAGATTTTTTAGAAATGATCACTCTGGCCATTTTTCGAAGCAAATCATGCATATTCAACTTGTTGCCTTCAACAGTTACAAGACATCGTTCACGAAGGACATTGATTCCTATTGTTCCAAAAAATCCGCATCGATCTAATATTTTTGCGACATAGTCCTTGTCATCTCCAATAAAGAAACAAGATACGTCAAGAAATATAGCCTTCTCTGAATCATCTAGCCCATCATAGCTTATTCTGAGTCGATTTACAATATGTTCATCTGGATATCTTCCCAATTTCTCCAATTGACTTTCCCACTCTGCCCACGATCTTTTAATCAAAAGAGATCCTAAAACTTCAAGCGCTAGTGGTAAACCTCCACAGTAAGAAACAACCTTTTCTGAAACTTCAAGATATCCTTCATCAGGACAACTATTTTTGAAGGCATGCCAACTAAATAGCTCAAGAGCTTCTTCTTCATTCATTTTCTTAGCCTGACATGCTCTGTCCACATTTAGTAGTAGACGTTCATCTCGTGTTGTTATGATAATTCTACTTCCAGGACCAAACCAATCATGACTTCCAACTATTGCATCCAGTTGTTCCTTTTTATCTATGTTGTCCACGATGACAAGTATCTTTCTATGTCGAAATTGTTGTTTTATCAGACCGATACCTTCGGCAACACAGCTTATTTCATGCTTCTTTTTCAAGATGTCAGAAATAAGTTTTTTTTGCAAATCAACCAGATCATGTTTCCTTGTAGCATCACGAACGTCGGCAAGGAAACTTTTGAATTCAAACTGAGGATGAATTTGGTTATAAATGGCTTTGGCAGCTGTTGTTTTACCCAGTCCACCCATACCCCAAATTCCAACCATGAGAACATCATTTGATCCACCACTTGAAAGATAACTGATAATATCTTGAACGCGAGAATCGATTCCAACTATGTGCTTGGCCACATGTAATTCGTTAGTGCTGGTGAGCCATTCACAAATATTATCGTCAATAATTTTTGTAATGAACTCTGCTTCGGGCCTGAAAATTGAATTCATAAGCATTAGTGGGACTCAATGAAGGCTCGGTAGGAGATATCAGTACATAACAATTTTCTTTCCTTCTTCCCTTCATATAATATATGTGTGTGTATGTGTGTATGTATATTAACTAGCTACCAGCTAGTATGTGATTTTATGACGAACTTGAATAAAAGAATTCATTGATAACTAAAAGTTAGGCGTATGAATTAAACTCCAATTACGGTTTAGGTTACTTATGAGAGATTAAGGTGTATTCATTAAGCATGTGAATGAATGTTTAGATTATGTAAAATATAAATTAAGCATGTCAATTAATTGAGAGATTAAGTCATTCACTAAAATTTGCAGCTTCTGTGAAGGATCAATGTGAGAGATTAAGGTGTATTAATTAAGCATGTTAATTAGAGTAATACAACTTAAATCTTGAAAAGCAGCTGAATGATTACCCATTGCTAGCGTTTTTAAGATGGTGGCCAGACAAATTTGCAGCCTTTGTGAGAGCCTCTCCCCACAGCTTTAGCCTTTCTTGTTTAGCTTCACGTTTCTTGTCATCTTTTTCTTCACGGATGTCCTTTTCATGGTTCTGAAATGCTTCGGCTAAATCTCCGTCCTGCTTCCTGACATGCGAAGGATCGACGTGATAGAATATTGGCAAAACACGTCGCTGAAGTTCGGATCTGCACTCCATGATCTTCACCAGCTCGTCAAGACACCAACTCGAATCCGCATACATCTTTGAGAAGATAATGACAGAGATCCTCGACTCTTCGATTGCACGAAACAGTTTCTCTTTTATTTCTTCCCCTCTTGGTAGATCGTCCTCATCAATAAAGACCTGGTACCCTCTGGCTTTTAATGCCGCGTGGAGGTGGCTCGTGAAGCCATAGCGCGTGTCTTCACCCCTGAAGCTCAAGAATACGTCGTACTTCCAGAGTTTGGACTGGGAGGAGGACGAAGAGGAGGCTTCGTGGGCTGTCATGGCGGTATCCACCGTTATGGCATAGCAGCGGCTCAGATCACAGACTGAAAAAATAGCAATAGTTGTGGTTGTGTTGGCGTGTTGACCTGAAAAGCGACAGACTGCCGAAAGGGACGGTGCAACGAAAGAGAGAAGAAAAGAGGTAAGAAAGGGACATGATAGGACAGACTATTAAAATGATGCCACCACCGGTGAAGAAGAATATTAAAATGATGCTTTTTAAATATGACGGTGAAAAGCCGTTCGACACGTTACAGGACGGTGGAAAACAAACAATATTACGAGAGAGGAAGAAACAAAACTCTGCAATCGAAAAAAAATATTATCTCCTTCTTCAACTTGCAACAAACAAACAAAAAAATCACTTTAAACATATTCCGGTAGAAAAACACATCACAGAATTAGCAAATTTAGGAGAGAGAAAGAGACCTGCACTCAAAACGTAAGTTCGCCCGAGAAATTTTCCAATTCAGAATCCATATCGGGGGTTTTTTTCCCTTCAGGTATTCAAATATTGGGCTTGGTCGAGAATTTTCAAGGGATTTTTGTAACTTGGAAGCCATCTTTTTCAATTTCATAGCGGGAGGGCGGACTGAAAGTGAAATTTAGGGGGAAGGAGTTGGAGGGAAAAGTACTTTGGCGTTCTTGGATTTATCGAGATGGAGGACGAGGAAGGGAAAGGGTGAGAGAGAGAGAGAGAATAAAATTATTTTTAATGGTATTTTTTTATTAAATTAACAATGAGGTCCAGAGTCACCATTAATTATGGAGGAATGGGGGGAGTTTGGCGGAAATGAGGCCTGCTAGCATTTCTTTCTCAAGAATACGAGGTAGAAACAATTAAGATCTACCTCCTCCTATTTCATCTGCAATGTAAACCGGCTAAATTGATCAGCTAATCGTTCAATATCTCTCCGTGTCAAAGATAATTGTTTTCGCATCCATGAGATTTTGGTAGTACTTAAGTAAATGTTAACAAGGCGTGCAATGCAGTACGCCTGGTATAATTAATAACAGTAATTTCAAGAGGACTTTTAGGTTGTTCACTTAAGAAGTAAATACATCAGACAACCAACTTTTTAAAATTGCAATCACCACTTTTAGACATAATAAAGTCGGCTACGTTTCCCTCATAAGCAAACTCAAACAACTCACGAATACTATAAATCCAATTGAGATAAATGTCATCGTATCTTCAAAAAGTCCATCCCTATACATGCTGAAAAGTACAAGGATCTCATATCAAATTTGTCAAAATTAAAGATGACTTATATTGTGCAATTTCCACTCCTAATTATACCAAAGTATATTGTGATAAAATACTCACATATGAAGTGTTGTGCATGTAGGAAAATTCAAGTTGATAGAAAGTGTCACATCCCTGCCCGGGCGGCACCACTTCCCAGGCCCGCTCCACCACCATAGCACAATATTGTCCGCTTTGGGCCCACAACGCCCTCACGGTTTTGTTTTTGGGAACTCACGAGCAACTTCCCAGTGGGTCACCCATCATGGGATTGCTCTAGCCCCTTCTCGCTTAACTTCGGAGTTCCTACGGAACCCGAAGCCAGTGAGCTCCCAAAAGGCCTTGTGCTAGGTAGGGATGGGAATATACATATAATGATCACTCCCCTAAGCGATGTGGGATATCACAGAAAGAATTGATGTTGTCAATGATGGGTACTTGTAAAGCATGTGATAAAATTTTTATTTTTCAAAGCTGTTGGTAGAACGTTAATAGATACCATTAGCTAGTAAACATTACTGTACCAACAAGCCACCAAAGTCTATGTGCTATATTATAAATAAAACTGGCTTCTATGAAAATACACTCTGTAAAACGGATAAGCACTTTACAAACCACTTATGTTTGTCACTTTTCTTTTCTAAAAGCCATTTTTGTATATAAGCACTTTACTAGGAGCACGTAAACAAATTTAGTAAAATTCTATCCTTTAAAAGGGACTGTGATCCTGGCTGGATCTCACCCCATCAAATCCTAAGGATTCAGATATCTGGACCCTTAAAATTTGATCTAACGACTACAAACATGAGGGCTCTTCTAAAGTGATAATAATTGTAACCGTTAAATCAAATTTCAATGGTCTTGATCTCCGGATCCTTAGGACTTAGTGAGGGAGATCCTGGGATCTATGTCCCTTTAAAAGCAGTTAATCATTTTTTTTTTCACCAACATCATCATAATGCTTTGAGAATATTGTTTGAAAGCACTTTTAATAACTCTAAAACCTTCAATGAATTAGCCAAACTAGGAAAAGTTGACAAATTAAAAATTTTAGCTCATTAATGTCATAATTTAAATCTTCTATTTGATCAAATGTCAATTACATGCATCACTTGTTAAGTCAAATAGTACATTAATGTGGTACGAAAATAAGAAAGCTGAGTTGAATCAGATAGCTTGGGTAAAAGACGTTACTAAATTCCGTGTGTATAATTTTACGAAGAATTCGAGTAGTCGGCGGCTTTGGAAACTTTGGCTCACAGACGGCCACAATGAGGTAGCAGTTGTGGAGTAGTCTCATATCCCGGCAATCCCTGACGACGTCGTTCCTGGAACTAAAGTATTCTCTGGTATGGACTATCATGGTGGTATCTGTTAAGGAAAATATCTCTATTACTTAGTCAATATTGTAAATTGATATTGTAGTTATTTCCTTTCCTATTTAGTTTCTGATCAAGCCTTACTTGTAGGCAATAGTTTAGGATCTCATTGACCGAATGGTTGTATAAAGCTGTAAACCTAGTTGTTGAATAATATACAATATATCACAATCCTATTCTGTGATTCTTATGATGGTACCAGAGTGATTGATATATGGGAAAATAAACAGCAAACACACAAACACCAAAACAACCCTAGCAAACCATAGCCATGGGTGATAACGCAGACACGAAGTCAACTTCCTCGAGCATGACTTCACATCTAAAGTGGGAGAGTCCTAACCACCCACTTTATCTCCATCATTCAGATCAACCCGGTGCAGTACTTGTGCCGCAGCCATTGGTGGAAGATAATTACAGTACATGGATTCAATCCATGACCATGGCCTTAACGGTCAAGAACAAATTAGGGCTTGTTGATGGGACTGTCAAAAAGCCGAGTGAAGATGAACATGAAGAATTGCAGCAATGGAATCGCTACAATAATCTGGTTAAAACATGGCTCTTAGGATCCATGTCCAAAGAAATCTCAAGCAGCGTCATCAACTGCAAGGATGCAAGGCAGATGTGGCTTGATCTACAAGAACGGTTTTCTCATGCAAATATCGTTCAATTGTTTCATGTAGAAAACGAGATCCATGATTGTGTACAAGGTAACATGACGGTGAGTTCATACTTTACCAAACTAAAGGGCTTGTGGGACGAGCGTGACGTACTATGTTCCATTCCTGCATGTGGCTGCGATACAAAGAAGGAAATCATCTTTTATGTTGAGACCCAGAAAACAATAAAATTTCTCATGGGTTTAAGTGATTCCTTTTCCACTGTCCGTAGTAATATCCTTCTCCTTGAGCCTTTACCCACAGTGAACAAAGCTTACTCTTTTGCTCTTCGCCATGAGAAGCAGGCGGAAGTCTCAAGTGGAAAGAATACCCCTCAACCTGAAGCAGCAGCTTTTGCTGTAAAGCATGGTGGACGCGAGCCTGAAACCGAGGATGGTGGTCCTCGCTGTGGCAAATGTAACAAGACGAACCACAGCATCAAAAATTGTCGTGCCCATCTCAAATGCAATTTCTGTGGTTGGAAAGGTCATACTTTCGAATATTGCCGCAAACGCAAAGCAGCTGCTGAAACTGAACAAAGCCGTTCATCAACTTCCAAGGGCAATCAAGTTGCCGTGCATGACAAGAAAGATGGGATGCCAAGCTTTCCCTTTTCCCAAGAAGATTGTAAGCAGATCCTTGCCATGTTAAACAAAAACCGTTCCTCATTTGCAAATCACGTGGGTAACTCTTTGACTCATGAAGAACTCTCAGGTAAAGCATTTTCCTTCATGCATAATGGCATTAAAAATGTTTGGATCTTGGATAGTGGTGCAACGGACCACGTTGTTTGCAGTCCTCATTATCTCACATCATCGAGGCCAGTTACAAATCACACTGTTGAACTTCCAAATGGTTTCCTTGCCACGGTCACTCACATTGGACAAGTGGTCTTCTCTCCCACACTTGTGCTTAATAATGTTTTGTGTGTCCCATTCTTTACCTTAAATCTGATATCCATTAGCAAACTCGCATACGATTCCCTTTATATTACCATTTTCCTAAAACAGTTTTGTGTCATACAGGACCTACGCTCGGGGAAGATGATTGGGACGGGAATTGAACGGGGGGGCCTCTACTATCTCGACCCATCAAAGAAAGGAACATGCAACACCATTAGCACAACCAATCATCACCTTTGGCACCAACGCCTCGGCCATCCATCCAAAACTGTTTCTATGTCATTTCCTTTTTTTAAATCTAGTTTTTGTGATTCAAATAAGTGTGTCATTTGTCCTTTAGCCAAGCAAACAAGAGCACCATTTTCTCTAAGTTCCATATCCACTAAATCTTGTTTTGAATTGATACATGTTGATATTTGGGGGGGATATCACGTTCCTTCTATTTCTGGTGCAAAATATTTTCTCACTATCGTTGATGATTACACTCGGAGCACCTGGATTTACCTCATGAAATATAAATCTGACACACAATAGCTTCTTGTGCAATTTGTTCACTTGGTTGAAACCCAATTTAATACTAAAGTCAAAATCATTCGTAGTGATAATGGTCCCGAGTTTAAGCTTGATAGTTTTTATGCAACGAAAGGCATTGTCCATCAAACCAACTGCGTTCACACACCACAACAAAATGGTGTTGCTGAACGTAAGCATCGACATTTATTAAATGTTGCCCGAGCTTTGCTTTTTCAAGCCAACATGCCAAAACGTTTTTGGGGGGACGCCATACTCACTTCAGCCTATCTCATCAACCGCACCCCCACACCTCTTCTCCACGGGAAGACACTTTATGAAATGTTGTTCCAAACAGCACCCAGTTACACCCACTTACGTGTTTTTGGTTGCTTGTGTTTTGCTTCCACTCACGCATATAAACCTTCTAAATTTGATCCTCGTGCCCGTCGTTGTGTGTTTCTTGGGTACCCATATGGCCAAAAGGGTTATCGACTTTTTGATCTTCATCTTAACAAAATTTTTGTTTCCCGGGACGTGCTCTTTTTCGAAAACCATTTCCCTTATCATTCTGCCACTTTCCGCTGCTCAACCACAGTCCACTATCCCAACCCACCCCTTATCTCCCTTTGTTGAAGATCCCTTCCCTGTCCCACGACCACTACTACCTACCCCCTCCACTGACCTTTCCACATTATCCGAGCCTCATTCTCTATCACCTGCGCCTTCACCCCCCCCCACACACCCTCTTCTCCTTCGCCACCTTCTACACCACCACCTGCACCATCTCCTGACATCACAATCCTACCCTCTCCTTCTCCAGTTCAAACTATCCCCCCCACTCCACCCCGACATAGCACCCGCCTCACAAAACCCTCTTCCTTTTTGCAGGACTTTCATGTCGAGGTTGCTCTCCCGTCCAGGCCTGCTCCCACATCTTCTACGAACGTGGCTCTTTCATCTTCAGGTACTTTTCACCCTCTTTCCACTTATTTGTCCTACGACCGCCTCTCATCTCATCATTAAACCTACACCACTAATCTTTCCCTCCTCAGAGAACCTACCAGTTTTTCACAGGCCATCCGTGATCCCCGCTGGCGTGATGCCATGCAACATGAAATTGCTGCTCTTCAAGCCAATCATACATGGACACTCGTGGCTTTGCCGTTGCACAAACGTCCCATTGGTTGTAAATGGGTTTACAAGATCAAACTCAAACCTGATGGCACCATTGACCGGTACAAAGCCCGCCTCGTTGCCAAGGGTTACAGTCAAATTGAAGGTGTTGATTACCGAGAAACCTTTGCTCCTGTCGCCAAGTTAACCACAGTTCGTGTGCTTCTCAGTGTCGCCGCTGTCCAAGGTTGGCATCTTCATCAGCTAGATGTCAACAATGCTTTCTTAAATGGTGATCTTGACGAGGATGTCTACATGACCTTGCCTCCTGGTTTCGGACGAAAGGGGGAGACTCGAGTATGCAAGTTGAATAAATCCCTCTACGGTTTGAAGCAAGCTTCACGGCAATGGTTCATTAAGTTATCCCATGCTCTGAAGGCTGCTGGATTTCATCAATCACAGTCTGACTATTTATTATTCGTCCGAAGTCGTCATGGTAACTTCATTGCTTTACTAGTATATGTTGATGATGTGATATTAGCAGGGAATAATCTGCATGAACTTGAAGAAACCAAGCAGTTCCTCTCTCAGCGTTTCAAACTGAAAGACTTGGGGCAACTCAAGTATTTCTTGGGAATAGAAGTTGCACGATCAAAGCATGGAATTACTATATGTCAACGTAAATATGCTCTCGAAATATTGGAAGATGCTGGATTTTTAGGCGTTAAGCCTTCTCGGTTCCCTGTGGATCCGAATTTGTCACTCACACAAATGGAAGGAAAGGAGCTGAATGATTCTTCATCGTATAGACGACTTGTGGGGAGGTTAATATACTTGACCATAACAAGGCCTGACTTGGCTTATGCTGTTCACATGCTAAGTCAGTTCATGGAGAAACCTCGGCAACCACACCTTGATGCTGCGCACAAGGTTCTCAAGTACATTAAACAAGCACCTGGTCAAGGGATTTTTCTTCCTTCCACAGGCTCATTGCAGTTACAAGCATTTTGTGATGATGATTGGGCTAGATGTCGAGATACTAGAAGGTCGATAACGGGGTACTGCGTTTTGCTCGGTCACGCACCTATTTCTTGGAAAACTAAGAAACAAACAACAATATCTCGTTCGAGTGCAGAGGCTGAATACCGTTCCATGGCCACCACATGTTGTGAAATCATATGGCTGAAGAATATTTTGAAGGACCTAAGAGTGAATCATTCTCAGCCAGTCAAGTTGTTTTGTGACAATCAAGCAGCATTACACATTGCTTCAAATCCTGTTTTCCATGAACGAACAAAGCACATAGAAATCGATTGTCATCTAGTACGAGAAAAGATTCAAGAAGGAATGATACGCACGGCTTACATACAGACCAATGATCAACCAGCTGATATATTCACTAAGCTGTTGAGTTCAACACAGTTCGAAGTTTTACTTGGCAAGTTGGGTGTCATTAACATACACTCCAACTTGAGGGGGAGTGTTAAGGAAAATATCTCTATTACTTAGTCAATATTGTAAATTGATATTGTAGTTATTTCCTTTCCTATTTAGTTTCTGATCAAGCCTTACTTGTAGGCAATAGTTTAGGATCTCATTGACCGAATGGTTGTATAAAGCTGTAAACCTAGTTGTTGAATAATATACAATATATCACAATCCTATTCTGTGATTCTTATGAGTATCCACCGTTATGACATTGCAATGGTTCAGATCACGACTGAAAAAATGAGAGTGGTTCTGTTTGTGTTGCCGAACTAACGATACTGAAATACCTAAACCTAAGTCAAGCTCCTTCAGTCCACAAAAGCAAAAGTTATCCACGTCCATTAAAATGAGATTAAATGGACCAAAATGCTATGCGGATCCCTCTCTGGACCTACCATATTATTTAAGGAAAACTAACAAAAAGTCTAAAAAAACTATAGTTTTAACAAAGAATGACAAATAAATGTGTAGTAAATAGTATCTAAAAAAGGTAAAAATATGATTTTGTCATTAAAAGTGAATAGTACAGGAGTGTTCCGTTAAAATTCACTATTATTTAATCCAAACGTCCATCCCAGATCGTGTGGCAACGAATTGTTGTTTTTCTTATTTCGCGTTAAACTGCGTCCACACACGAAAGATCTTCATTCTCCACTTTAGTTCACGCGGTGAATTGTTATCAAAGAAAACAATGCCTTCCATATAAATTCATTACTTTATACAAATTCAACTTTATATTCGGAGCTTCATCGTGTTGACATATCTAAAATGTGTTGCGTTAATTGTTCTCATTCTATCAATTAATTAGTTTGAATCCAAATGATATAAAAATAATAATAGCAAGAAATCCTAATTGTCGAACTAAGAAGACACACCATTCCATTACGAAATTGGAAAAAAAAAATGTGGGAAATATAGAGTGTGCATGCATGCCAAGTAATATCCACATGAACTAAAAGATGAGAAACTCTTAATAAGAGGACTGTTGAAAATGAAAATTGATTGCCTTCCGATTATTCATCTCCAAATATTGATGGTACGTGAGTAGTTACATTGGTGGTACGTGGATAGTTATTGTTGGATCTCACATTAAACTGAGATCATATCGTAGAAATCCATGGGAGAAAACTGCTAACTTGTTCGTGCTCTTTCTCCATCGTTTTTGAGGTTGAACACGAAACCTTTTTCTCTTTTTTTTTTCCTTTTCTTTTTTTCACTTTTTTCGTTTTCTTTCCTATTTTTATTACGTTTTTACTTCTTATTTACAGATTTTTGTTTTTTTTATTTTTTTTAGTACAGTTTTATGTTTAGTTATGTTTTTTTTTACCAATTTGTCTTCATTTTTTTGAATTTAGGTTGTGAAGGAAATTAAGGATCATTTTTCGTATTTTCGAATACTTGCATTTAAGGGCCGAATTATTGTGGGCTGGGATAAGTGGTCCATTGGGCTTTGGGGTGAAAGTAAGTAGAAGTGGGAAAGAATAGAGAGGAGTACCGCCTCGCCTTACGCCTTTCTTCCGTCGGCGTCGTCTAGGGCTTTAGTTGTAACAGGGCCTATAAGGAGCACGATAGCCCCTGTAATTCATCAACCTTCAATTCACAAACGTGACCAGAGTCTGGAGGCTGAGCCGCCGTAGAAATATTACTGTTACCATCCTCCTCTTGGTGATCGCCCTGCCTCATGGCCTTCTGGATTCAGGGCCTGCATATGGACAGGGTGATTACCAAGGGGATGACGGTAATATTTAATTCATGATGTTGGCAAACTCGTCGGAAAATAGCCCCCGGCGCCGGAAAACTCACCGGGGGTAGAGCTCTGAAGTGGCTGCCATACCACTCGTCTCGCTGACATTTCACGAAGAAGATAAGGAACACCCAAATTATGCTATATTTCAGTGCTTTTTGCTTTTTAACTTTGTTTTTTGAGTTCTTGGGTTTCAGGTTTTGGTTGCTGGTGACAGGGTTCGAAAGCCGGGTATGAATCAACTCTCAAATCTATTTAATTTCAGTTTCGATTTCAATGCCTCTTTTGAAATTTATTTCATGATGTTCGAATTTGGATCTCAAATATGCATTACAAGGCTTATCATGGCCTTTCAATTTCCCTCTAAAGCATAGTGTGCACGTTTCAAGTTCCACTCTCACATCTTTGCAAATTATGCACTGCAAGGCTTATCATGGCCTTTCAATTGAAATGGCACTAGATATGTTTTGACAGGCCCGTTCTGCGCATTTGATATGTCTGAGGGCTGTCATGACATGTCATAGCAATAGCTACTCTCCTGTTGGTGTCCAGGACATTAATTTTCCTCACTCTTTGATTTAGAAGGTTGGAGTCCCGGAACAGCTGCATATTATAGGTCCACTGCAATGGCATTGTTTTACTATATAATAAGAGTAGCTTTGTTTTATGCAATCCGGAATTGAGGAATTCATTCGTGTTCCCGATGAGCCATGCCTTCCAATGTGGCCCAGATTAGGTTTGGACCCCCGGGACGATTACAATTGGTCAGAACATATTGATACTGGTTTTCATCCTGGATTTGGCTATGATCCCAAATCTAACGAGTACAAATTTGTGGCCTTTACTACTTATACTCAAGAGTCAGATGACGTTATGATACTTACTGCTTCACACAAAGCGGTAGTATACACCATCAGTTGTGATTCTTGGAAAGAGGTCGATACCGTTTCTTTAGAAGCCGAAACTACTTTGTTTTGGCCTGACAGGTTCCAGATGTGCTTCAAGGGAATGCGTTATTGGCTGGGAATTGAGCAAGATAAGGAAATATCTGTTTATGACACTTGATGACCCAGAAGGCGGGAGAGTGATCATTTCTTTCAATACAAGTTGCTAGGTATTTCATGGTATACCCGAACCATCTGAGCTCCAATGATTACCCCTGGGGCGTGACCTTGATTTGAAGCTTATTGTGTTGAATGAATCAGTTTCTTATGGTTCACAATGATGGACGCGTAGTTTGGTTTAATCTTAATACTAAAAAGCTTACCTGTGTTCCCATTGAAACACGAGGTGAGTTTGTTGGTTATGTGAATAGCATAGTTGTGGTCATGGGATGCAACCACAAGCCTGAGAGCGTAGAGAATAATTGCTCAGACAAAGATGAAGATGCGATGGTGGCGGTAGAAGGGAAGAGGGAAAGCTGCAGGAGGCGGTACTCATATTCCGTTTGGCCCATTCCACCGGCTGATGTTTCCCATAGAATCAAGAAGGTGATGGAGGGCCTCCGGGCAGAGTTTGGTGCGTTTCCCTGTAAACAGTAAGTTTCTGTTTACATTAACTTTTGAGCTGGGTTTTTTTTGTTTTCACGGAAGCTTCCTTTTTAATTTCTTCTTGTTGTTTACGGGAATGTTCATATGTAATCTGTCTGTCTGCAATATTTGATGGATACAGGTTCTATGCCATATTTAAGCGAACTCCACGGGAAGTCGAAGGAAGAAGAAGAAGAGGAAAAAAGCTCGAGAACTGTTTAATGCTCTGGATGAGGGCATTACTAGCTTGAGCTTCCGCGTAACTCGCTTTGCATTGTATGAAATCGACTACGATGACAAATCTCTGAATTCTTGGACGAAGATTGATGAAATCGGCCATTAGACAAGTTCTCTGAATTCATATAAACAACTCTGAGGTCGAACAAAGTTATAATATATCAATCATTTGCAAACGTGGAGTAATATATCAACATCAAAGGATCCGGGGAACGAATACGGAGTTATTGATAATATATCTAATGAACCAATGAAGAGTTCATTTTTCCATCTGGATATGCAAAATTGTAGATTATATCGTTTGTTCAAAAAAAGAGATTTAACATTATTTAAGGGTGATGCCTAAGAGATCATCTTTTTGGACCATATTTATAGATCACGTGATGATGATGTTAAGGTTGATGATTGAATTATTTCTTTAAACCATGAAAATGGAATCTAACCATCAAAAACCACATTATTTGATTTCAAAATGTAATCTAAAAAGATTATCTCTTAACATTTTCCATTAATTAATCCGTCCCTTTTTTAATTAGCGGAACAACAAAACACAACATTTCCTCGAAGTCCTTAATAATTCTCACCCAATTAAAATAAAAATTAAAGTAATCAAATAAAAACGAAATATTTGAAATGCCAAAAATACAAAGGAATGGCGAGCAGAGACAGAGAAACGCGTGGTGAGTTTAGATTGCTGTTTGTTGGCCTTGGCTTTTGCTTTCTGTTTCAAATTTCATTGCTTTGTGTGTTGGGGTTGCTGAGAAAATTGGAGGGAAAAGCTGAAAGAAACAAGATATGTCAAGGAATATAACCTTCTGTATATCATCTAGTTCTTAAAAAAAATTTTTACTGGTTTTATTATTTTTTCATGAGGAGTTTTTTCCAATTTTTCTTTCAACCAAAAAGAACCTAAAACTTCAAGGGCAAGTGGCAAACCTCTACAGTAAGAAACAACTTTTTTTTTGAGAGTTCAGAATATCCTTTGTTAAGCCAACTATTTCCAAAGGTATGCCAAGTTTGAATACTAAAGTGAATATATTCAAACGAGTTCATCGATTGCAAAGGTATTAGAAAAGATAATTCAAACCTTATGCTAACATGTCAGGGCAAGTCGAGATTAATGAAAAGCTTTCATTGATTTTCTAACCTTAAAAGTAAATTCCTGAAATATGTGGTGGAAGCAGGGCAAGTATTTGTGTGAATTCGTGTAGTATTTGTCAAATATTTTGATGAATGTCTTGTATTGATTGTTGTAAAGTTGAAATGTTTCTAGATGCAATATATCTTCAAAATTCAAAGCAACTAATTGAAAACAATCATAGTAATCTGAAACAAGTTTGAAATATGGACTTGTCTTCATTATCGACTGGGAAAGCGAAAAACAAAAGAGGCATTTGACGAACCGAGCTGGATGATGACAATGCATCACCACCTAGATTGTGCCTCGCCATAGAACCGAGCTGGATGTAGGTCAAAAACATAACCAGCTTGGTCCAAATCTTGAACATTTTCCTTCATAGGTTTGTCCCATACTAGATTAACCCATGTTCTAATCAATGAAACATAATTATATAAGATCCTGCCAAAATTAGATCAACTTCAACTTTAACCCTGCCTTGCAAATTGAGCTTCAAAATACATGAGTCGGATTGCAAATGATGGCAAAACGTTTGAAAGTGGAGAAAATTTCGGAGATTTTCTATTGAGAAATCCATCAATTCTAAGTCTTGTAGAGGAGATTTTTTATCTTAACATGAACAGCCCTACAATTTATTCAACTCTCATAGTCTTACTATCTCCAAATGGTAAAGGCCAAGAGACTCAGGTGTCCAGCTGAATGTTACCTGAACAAGTAGATGATGAATAATCAAGAGACAAAGAGAGGCGTGTAAGAGAATCTTCCTCCATTGGGTCGGCTATCTGATCTCCTCTGTCATTGACTGCCGAACCCTGGGGCTGGACTAGTACTGAGAGATTCTCATAACGAGTTTGAGGCTGAATATGATGGCTTGCAGGAAAAGTATTAGAAGACGGAAAAATGTGAATGTGCAAGACTGAGAGGACCATGATCATGCACTGCTATAGTACTACCGATGTACTTACTGAGATCATAATCATTAGATGGCTCATAATTATCAGATGACTCCTCATAGAACCGGGCTGGATGTTGGTCAAAAACATAACTAGCTTGGTCCAAATCATGCGAATTTTCCTTCATAGGTTTGTTCCACACTAGATTAACCATTGTTCTCATTGATGACCTATAATAATCAGATTTTCTTGAAAGTTGTAATATAACTTCAACTTTATCCCCACTTTGCAATTTGAGCTTATCGTTCGATACTTGACCTTGCCAAAGTTTAGGCGTATCCCAATATCCGCTGCCGAAGTAAGCCTGCAACTTTGTGCGCTTGGTATTATTTATAACAGTGATGCCAAATTTACTTGCAAATGCATATTTGTGCAAAAAGCACAGAGTCAGCCCTTCAAAAGTACGACCATCATTCGGGGGAATATCAAAACTGACTGTATTGCCATGGTTAACAAACTCAAACCAATTAGGAATAAAATTCCCATAGAGTAAAACGCCACCAAATCCGCACGAAGTCCATCCCTACATATACAATGCAAGTGTCATATATATATATACACACACACACACACACACACATGTAAACGTGCGTTTTTGTGTGAATGTGCACCATAGGAAGGCAATGAGAGAGAGAGTGTGAGATACCTGTAGGATGTTCTTCCCAAAATCAGCTGTGAGATTGGTGCAGTTACTCATATCAATCAATGTCATGAAGTTTAATGACTTATCCAAGCCTGGAACCATAGTGAGTTTGGGCGAATCACTTACCTTCAACTCTGTCATATTTGACATTTCCGAAAAATTGGGCATTGTTTCCAATGCAGGGCAATTAGCGGCATACAAAAATTTCAAATTTGTTGGTAAATCAGGGATTGTACGAAGGTAAAGGCAGCCATTTAACCCCAATGTTTCAAGCTTTGTAAGACCACTTAGGCTAGGTAAGGTATGAAAATAATTCCATCCAAGATCCAAAAGAGTGAGATTCCTCAATCTAACTATAGAAGATGGTATTTGTCTTACGCCTGTGAAATCTGCTTCAAGTATTCTCAATGATTTCATCTCCCCTAAATCCTCATGCACTTCTCTGAATTCCAAACAGCCAGTAAGAAGAAGAGTCTCAACAGATTTCAACTTATAGAAATCCCTTGGAAGAGAACTAAGCATTTCGCATTCTTTGAGGTTCACCAAAGAAAGTTTTTGAAGTTGACCAATGGAGGGATGAATCTCGGACAAACTCTCACAATCTTCCAGTATCAACTCTTCAAGATTTGGGACCAGTGAAAAGTCCGGTGATTTAATTAGAGAGTAGGAACGACTGAGATTCAGGATTTTTAACCTCTCTAGCAACTGTTACAAAAAACCAAAGGAAAATTGAAATTAATATCCAAAAGGAAGATGTCATAAATAAAATAAATAAATAAATAAAACAAGGAAATGCAAAACCAAATAGAAACCGAACATCATCATGTGTAATTGATCGTACCTTATAACCCTCCCAAACTTGTACTAGTTTGCTACACTGCATTTCTAAAACAACTAGTCTTGGTTGATCAAAAAAGTCATCTGGTATGGACTTTAAAGGGCATCCTACCCAACACAACCATATTAACTCTTTGGGAAGATGTTTGTATTCTCCAATGAGCTGAACGTCTTTCAGATGAAGGAATCTCAGTTTCTTCATATTGGCAAATGCTTCTGTACTGAAACTAGGCAGGCTAGAGCTTCGAGGCCAAGGATGAGGGAAATTTAGAGCAAGTCCTTCAACTTCTTCAGTTCCCTGTTAACAAAAGGTTATATTCATGTGTAAGAAACAGATTATTTGCATCTATTTACACGTATTATTATTCATTAGGCAAAATCACCTACACTGATTATATTTACACATAAATGTTGGTTAGTGTATAATAGACATACGTGGGTTATATATATGTTTTCAAGCAGGATGCATTATGCAAAATTTTATGGGGAATGTACTTACAGATTTATTTCTCAAGACTTCAGCGGCCTCTTGACGGTTCCACAACCTACTCCATTTTTCAGGATGACCAAGAGATTTTTCAGAAATGATTACTTTGGCCATTTCTCGAAGCAAATCATGCATATACAACTTGTTGCCTTCAACAGTTACAAGACATCTTTCACGGAGGACAACGATTCCTATTGATGCAAAAAATCCAGATCCATCTAATACTTTTGTGACGTAGTCCTTATCCTTTCCAATAAAGAAACAAGATATATCAAGAAATATAGCCTTCTCTAAAGAATCTAGCCCTTCATAGCTTGTTCTGAGTTGATTCACAATGTTTCCATGTGGATATCTTCCCAATTTCTCCAATTGACTTTCCCACTCCACCAACGATCTTCTAATCAAAAGAGATCCTAAAACTTCAAGAGCTAGTGGTAAACCTCCACAATAAGAAACCACCTTTTTTGAAACTTCAAGATATCCTTGATTAGGACAACTATTTTTAAAGGCATGCCAACTAAATAGCTCAAGAGCTTCTTCTTCATTCATTTTCTTAGCCTGACATGCTCTGTCCACATTTAGTAGTAGACGTTCATCTCGTGTGGTTATGATAATTCTACTTCCAGGACCAAACCAATCATGACTTCCAACTACTGCATCCAGTTGTTCCTGTTTATCTATGTTGTCAACGATGACAAGTATCTTTCTATGTCGAAATTGTTGTTTTATCAGGCCGATACCTTCGTCAACACAACTTATTTCAGGCTTCTTTTTCAAGATGTCAGAAATAAGTTTTTTTTGCAAATCAACCAGATCATGTTTATTTGTAGCGTCATGATCATCGGCAAGGAAACTTTTGAATTCAAACTTAGAATGAATTGGTTATAAATGGCTTTGGCAGCTGTTGTTTTACCCAATCCACCCATCCCCCAAATTCCAACCATGAGAACATCATTTGATCCACCACTTGAAAGATAACTGATAATATCTTGAACACGAGAATCGATTCCAACTATGTGCTTGGCCACATGTAATTCGTTAGTGCTGGTGAGCCATTCACAAATATTCTCGTCAATAATTTTTTTAATGAACTTTGTTTCGCACCTGAAAATTAAATTCATAAGCATTAGTGGAACCCAGTGAAGGCCCAGTAGGAGATATCAGTACATAAACAATTTTCTTTCCTCCTTTCCTTCATATATATATATATATTAACCATCTACTAGCTAGTATGTGATTTTATGACGAACTTGAATTAAAGAAAGTCATTGATAAATAAAAGTTGGGCGTATGAATTAAACTCCAATTACGGTTTAGGTTACCTATGAGAGATTAAGGTGTATTTGTTTAGATTATGTAAGATGTTTATTAAGCATGTCAATTAATTGAGAGATTAAGTCATGTACTTAAATGTTTCAAATCTTGAAAAGCAAGTAAATGATTACCCGTTGTCAGTTGTTTGGTGGTCAGACAAATTTGTAGCTTCTGTATGAGCCTCTATCTGCCTCTTCCTGAAAGATTAAGGTGTATTAATTAAGCATGTTAATTAGGGTAATACAGCTTAAATCTTGAAAAGCAGCTGAAATGATTACCGATTGTTAGCGATTTTAAGATGGTGGCCAGACAAATTTGCAGCTTTTGTGAGAGCCTCTCTCCACAGCTTTAGCCTTTCTTGTTTAGCTTCACGTCTCTTGTCATCTTTTTCTTCACGGATGTCCTTTTCGTGCTTCTGAAATGCTTCTGCTAAATCTCCGTCCTGCTTCCTGACATGCGAAGGATCAATGTGATAGAATATTGGCAAAACATGTCGCCCCAGTTTGCATCTGCACTCCATGATCTTCACCAGCTCATCAAGACACCAACTCGAATCCGCATATCTCTTTGAGAAGACAATGATAGAGATTATCGACTCTTCGATTACCCGAAACAGTTCTTCTTTTATTTCTTCCCCTCTTTTTAGATCGTTCTCATCAATAAAGACCTGGTATCCTGTGTCTTTTAATGCTGCGTAGAGGTGGCTCGTGAAGCCATTGCGCGTGTCTTCACCCCTGAAGCTCAAGAATACGTCGTACTTCCAGAGCTTGGACTTGGAGGAGGACGAAGAGGAAGCTTCGTGGGCTGTCATGGCGGTATCCACCGTTATGGTGGTTCAGATCACATACCTAAAAAATGACAGTAGTTGTGTTTGTGTTGCCGAAGGATGATACTTAAACATGTGCCGAGCGGGAAGGAGGGAAAGAGAGAAGAAAAGAGGAAAGAAAGGAACATGATAGGACAGACTATTAAAATGAGTAGAAAATTTTAATTGTAATCACGTATTTTAATAAAAATGATGAAAATTTTAATTTTTAACTTACTGACTTTTTAATACATATATTTTATTATTTGTACTGTGACATATAATATCTTATTTCATGTATCGGTTGCATTAAAAAATCTATCTAAAAATAAGAAAAGATTATTTCCGATCTCTTCCACCAAAACTATTGGATGAAGTTTTCTGAATCTTTCAACTTTCTTCCCACAGCCCAAAAATTATTACAATTTTTAAAATATCAAAATAGATGAACCGTTGACGAAATGTGAAAGATTCCATAATTATGGTGGAAGAGATCGGAATCGATCGCTTCTACATTAAAATGATGCCACGACCCATGTGAAGAAGAATATTAAAATGATGCTTTTTAAATACGATGACGAAAAGTCGTCCGAAATAGCGTCAAAGGGCGGTGAAAAAACAAACAATATTATGAGAGTGGAAGAAATAAAACTCTGCAATTGAAGAAAAAAATACTATCTCCTTCTTCAACTTGCAACAAACAAACAAAAAAATCACTTTAACATATTCCGGTAGAAAGACCTATCACACAACTAGCAAATTTAGGAGAGAGAAAGAGACCTGCACTCAAATCGTAAGTTCGCCCGAGAAATTTTCCAATTCAGAATCCAGATCGTGGGTTTTTCTCCTTTCAGCTGTTCAAATTTTGGGCTTGGCCAAGAATTTTCAAGGGATTTTTGTAACTTGGAAGCCGTCTTTTTCAATTTCAGAGCCGGAGGGCGGACTGAATTGTAGGGGGGACAAGTTCGAGGGAAAAGTACTTTTGGTGTTCTTGGATTTACCTAGATGGAGGACGAGGAAGGGAGAAGGGTGAGAGAGAGAGAGAAGAAAATTATTTTTAATGGTATTTTTTTTATTAAATTAACAATGAGGGGGAGTTTGGCGGAAGCGAGTCCTGCTAGCTGAGAATTTTTCAACGTGATCATACACGACATGGTACATCAAGTATTATTATATAAATTGTAGGATATGTGTGTTAAAAAATTAATAATTTAAAAAATAAAATTTTCTACCATTTATGTAAAAACACATGATGTACCACTTGTGTTCCCGTCATAATAAAACATTTCTCCTGCTAGCATTTCTTTTTCAAGAATAAGAGGGTAGAAACAAGAGACACAGATGACTTATATTGTGCTATTTCCACTCCTAATTTAATCAAAGTATTTTGTGATAAAAATATTCACATATGAAATGTTGTGCATGTAGTAAAATTCAAGTCGATAGAAAGTACTGATGTTGTTAATGATGGATCCTTGTAGAGCATGTGATAAAATTTTCATTTTTCAAAGCTGTTTGTAAAACGTTAATAGATGAGCCCTTAACTTATATGTTAGCCACCATTAGCTAGTAATAAATAAAATCGGTCTCTATGAAAAAACACTGTGTAAAAAGGATAAGCACTTTACAAACCACTTATATTTAGGGGTAGACACGATTTGGTTTGGTCCAAATGATATAAAAATAATAATAGAATAAAATCCTAATTATCGAACTAAAAAGGCACACAACACACCACTCTATTACGAAATTGGGAAAAAAAATGTGAGAAATATAGAGTTCGCATGCATGCCAAGTAATATCCACATGAACTAAAAGATGAGAAACTCTTAATAAGAGGACTGTTAAAATTTTTTAGTAAAGTTCTATCCTTTAAAAGCACTTATCATTTTTTTTTCTACCAACATCATCATAATGCTTTGAGAACATTGTTTGGAAGCACTTTTAATAACTCTAAAAACATCAATGAATTAGCCAAACTAGGAAAAGTTGACAAATTAAAAATTTTAGCTCATTTTTTTTATATTTTGTTTTTTATTCTAATTCAACTTTAATTCATTACTTTATACAAATTCAACTTTATATTCAGTGTTTCACCATATTGACATTTTTGGTATGTTTAATACAGTTTTATGTTTAGTTATGTTTTTTTTTTTTACCAATTTGTCCTATTTTTTTATTTTTTTTTAATTTAGATTGTGAAGGAAATTAAATATCATTTTTGGTATTTTCAAATGCTTCAACCGCTCAACATAAAAAAATGATGTGCTTGAAAGAAAGAATCATGCTGTACAAGCAACAGCATCGGGAGACCAAATACTTGCATTTAAGGGCCGAATAAATGTGGGCTGGGCTAAGTGGTCCATTGGGCTTTCGGGTGAAAGTAAATACAAGTCGGAAAGAATATGCCAATACGGAGAGGTGTACCGCCTCACCTTACGCCTTTCTTCCGTCGGCGTCGTCTAGGGTTTTAGACCCTGTAATTCATCAACCTTCAATTCACAAACCTGACCAGAGTCTGGAGGCGGAGCCGCCGTAGAAATATTACTGTTACCATCCTCCTCTTGGTGACCGCCCTGCGCCATATGGCCTTCCGGATTCAGGGAACTTCTGGATTCAGGGCCTGCACATGGACAGGGTGATTACCAAAGGGATGACGGTAATATTTAATTCATGATGTTGGCAAACTCGTCGGAAAATCGACGCCGGCGCTGGCAAACTCACCGGCGTCAGGGCTCTGAAGTGGCCGCCATATCATTCCTCTCTCTGACGTTTCACGAAGAAGATAAGGAACACCAAATTATGCTAAATTTCAGTGCTTTTTGCTGTTTATCTTTGTTTTTGTGTTCTTGGTTTCAGGGTTTGGTTCCTGGTGACAGGGTTCGAAGGCCGGGTATGAATCAACTCTCAACTCTATGAAATTTCAGTTTCGATTTCAATGCCTGTTTTGAAATTTATTTGATGATGTACCAATTTGGATCTCAAATATTGCCTTTGTGCTCGGATTTATGATGCAAATCTTAAATTTTGTAACTCGTCTAAATATGGAGTATGTGAGATTAGATATATTCTGAGATGGTGTTTTTTCCTTCTTTGAAAACTGTCTCCGAAAGCCGTCATCACCTTGCTCAGTCTACTTGTCATTATTTTGGGGCTGCCCTTCGGTCGAGTGTTTGTCACCAACTTCATGTTCTTTTAAATCCCTCTAAAGCATACTGCAAGTTTCAAGTTCCACTCTCGCATCTTTGCAAATTACGCACTACAAGGCTTATCATGGCCTTTCAATTGACTTGGCACTAGATATGTTTTTGACATGCCCGTTCTGCGCATTTGATATGTCTCAGGGCTGTCATGACATGTCATAGCAAGGCTAGGATACCCTACGCATGTCGAATTTGGATAACACCCGTAATACTTGGTGTATTCTCCGTCGAGGGTGGATGTCTTTCATCTCATGTAGTTTCTCTAACAATTAATAATAAACTCTTACTTTCTAGTCTTAATCAGACAGCTTCTATGATGATTAAACCTTGCTTTCCCAAATTACCTCAAGTTTTGATCAAATATCTAAATCAGTTTTTCGCATTCTTTTTTCTTCCGGCAGTAAATTATTTTTTCATAATTAGTTAGGCAATTGATACAAAAGTTTTTGTTTATTGTTAATTTCGTTTTTGATTGATTCATATTAGGGTTGCAGATAAGATTGTTAATTTCATTTTTTGCTCGTGTGTGTACTGATGTAGAGAGAGAGAGAGAGTGTTGCACCAGCAAAATGAGAATGGGACAAGATATGTTGGTGGAAATCCTATCAAATTGCCTCCCAAAACTCTCTAAATGGTGGTATGCTCTCATCACCAATCTGAGTTTTGTATTGAAGCACCTCTCCAACTCTGCCAAAAACCACCTCACCACTCGCAACCTCCTTTTCAAGCGATAGTAGTGCAGTGGCAGCATGAGGAGGAGGAGGAGGAAACTGAACAAGTATTCTCGTTGCTTAAGTTATGCAAAGACGATGATAATATCGATGACGAGGAAAGCAATAGCTGCTCTTTTGTTGGTGTCCAGGACATCATTGTTCCTCACTCTTTTATTCAAAAGGTCCAGAAAGTCCCGAAAGAACTGGATATTGTAGGACACTGTAACGGCATCGTTTTGATGATCCAGAAGGCCATCATTTATTTCGATACAAGTCGCTAGGTATTTCATGGTATGCCCGAACCATCTGAGCTCCAACTATTACCCCTGGGGCGTGACCATGATTTGAAGCTTATTGTGTGGAATGAATCAGTTTCTTACGGTTCACAATGATGGACACGCAGTTTGCTTTAATATTTGTACTAAAAAGCTCACGTATTTCCCATTGAAACACGAGGTGAGTTTGTTGGTTATGTGAATAGCTTAGTTTCGGTCAAGGGACGCAACCACAAGCCTGAGAGCATGGAGAGTAATTGCTCAGACAAAGATGGAGATGCGATGGTGGCGGTAGATGGGAAGAGGGAAAGCTGCAGGAGGCGGTACACATATTCCGTTTAGGCCATTCAACGGCTGATGTTTCCCATAGAATCGAGAGGGTGATGGAGGGCCTCCGGGCAGAGTTTGGTGCGTTTCCCTGTAAACAGTAAGTTTCTGTTTACATTAACTTTTGAGCTGTTTTTTGTTTTTTTTTTTTTTCCTCACGAAAGCTTCCATCTTAATTTCTTCTTGTTGGTTACGGGAGTGTTCATATGATCCGTCTGTCTGCAATATTTGATGGATGCAGGTTATGTGCCATACTTGAGCCTCCTCTACGGGAAGTCGACGGAAGAAGAAGAAGAAGAAAAAAACTCGAGAACTGGTTAATGCTCTGGATGAGGGCATTACTAGCTTGACCTTCCGCGTAACTCGCTTTGCATTGTATGAAATCGACTACGATGACAAATCTCTGAATTCTTGGACGAAGATTGATGAAATCGACCATTAGACAGATTCTCTGAATTCATATAATTGCAAGCAAGTTAGCAACTCTGAGGTCGAACAAAGTCATAATATATCAATCATTTGCAAACGTGGAGTAATATATCAATATCAAAGGATCCAGGGAACGAAGGGGGAGTTATTGATAGTATATCTAATGAACCAATGAAGAGTTCTCTAGGCCGCAAGTTTGTATATAATATCGTTTGTTCAAAAAAGAGATTCAACATTAATTAAGGGTGATGCTAAAGAGACCATCTTTTTGGACCATATTTATAGACCACATGATGATAATGTGATGGTTAATGATTGAATTATTTCTTTAAACTATTAAAAATGAAATCTAACCATTAACAATGAGATTTATTTAACCAAATAACAAAAAAAAAAGCTTTAAAAATTTTAACTTTAAAGTATCACTTGAATATATAGCATTATTATATAATAAATTGAAAAGAAATATTTTTACACTTATAAGAAATGCACAATGAGATTTTAAAATGCTAATAAAAGTATATTTTTAATATATAGCATTATTACATATAAATGTAAGATGACAAACATTTTTGGGAGCCCTTCAAATTTGAGAGCCCTGAGCGATTATACCTTTTGCTCGCCCCCAACACCGCATTTGTTGTCCATGATGACAAATACCCCTTTATGTCCAAATTGTTGTTTTACCATACTGATATCTCCATCAACACTGCTTATTTGAAACTTCTATTTCAAAATGTCATAAACAAGTTTTTCTTGCAAATCAACCAGACCATGTTTACACGTAGTGTTGCTAACGTTGGCAAGGAAACTTTTGAATTCAAATTTACAATGAATTTGGTTATAAATGGTTTTGGCAGCTGTTGTTTTACCCAACTCACCCATCCCCCAAATTAAAATCATGACAACGTCATTTGATCCACCACTTGAAAGATGACTGATAAAATCATTGTGGAGGATTTTCGAGGAATTCGAGCAGTCGACCGCTTTTGAAACTTGGTCTCACGGACGGCCACAGTGAGGCAGCAGCTGTGGAGTACTCCTCTATCCCAGCAATCCCTGACGATGTCTTTCCTGGAACCAAGGTACTTTCTGATACTTGATGCTTGCTCACTGCTCAGCTTGTGTTATACATGTAAATAAGTTAGAGATTTCTTTGATTGATCACTTTATGGATTTTGAATATGTTCAGTTTAGTATTCAAACTAGCATTCCATAATCTAAACAGGACATATTCAAACGAGTTCATCGATTACAAAGGTATTAGAAAAGATAATGCAAACCTTATGCTAAAATGTCAGGGCAAGTCGAGATTAATGAAAAACTTTCATTGATTTTCTAACCTTAAAAGTAAATTCCTAAAAATATGTGGTGGAAGCAGGGCAAGTATTTGTGCGAATTCTGAGTAGTATCTGTCAAGTATTGTGATGAATGTCTTATATTGATTGTTGTAATGTTGAAATGTTTCTAGATGCAATATATCTTCAAAATTCAAAGCAACTAATTGAAAACATAAGTCGGATTGCAAATTCAAAATTCAACTTTAACCCTGCCTTGCAAATTGAGCTTCAAATTACATGAGTCGGATTGCAAATGATGGCAAAACGTTTGAAAGTGGAGAAAATTTCGGAGATTTTCTATTGAGAAATCCATCAATTCTTAGTCTTGTAGAGGAGATTTTTTATCTTAACATGAACAGCCCTACAATTTATTCAACTCTCATAGTCTCACTATCTCCAAATGGTAAAGGCCTAGAGACTCAGGTGTCCAGCTGAATGTTACCTGAACAAGTAGATGATGAATAATCAAGAGACTAAGAGAGGCGCGTAAGAGAATCTTCCTCCATTGGGTCGACTATCTGATCTCTGTCATTACCTGCCGAACCCTGGGGCTGGAAGAGTACTGAGAGATTCTCAGAACAAGTTTGAGGCTGAATATGATGGCTTGCAGGAAAAGTATTAGAAGACGGAAAAATGTGAATGTGCAAGGCTGAGAGGACCATGATCATGCACTGCTATAGTACTACCGATGTACTTACTGAGATCATAATCATTAGATGGCTCATAATTATCAGATGATTCCTCATAGAACCGGGCTGGATGTTGGTCAAAAACATAACTAGCTTGGTCCAAATCATGCGAATTTTCCTTCATAGGTTTGTTCCACACTAGATTAACCATTGTTCTCATTGATGACCTATAATAATCAGATTTTCTTGAAAGTTGTAATATAACTTCAACTTTATCCCCACTTTGCAATTTGAGCTTATCGTTCGATAGTTGACCTTGCCAAAGTTTAGGCGTATCCCAATATCCGCTGCCGAAGTAAGCCTGCAACTTTGTGCGCTTGGTATTATTTATAACAGTGATGCCAAATTTACTTGCAAATGCATATTTGTGCAAAAAGCACAGAGTCAGCCCTTCAAAAGTACGACCATCATTCGGGGGAATATCAAAACTGACTGTATTGCCATGGTTAACAAACTCAAACCAATTAGGAATAAAATTCCCATAGAGTAAAACGCCACCAAATCCGCACGAAGTCCATCCCTACATATACAATGCAAGTGTCATACACACACACACACACACACACACACACACACACACATGTAAACGTGCGTTTGTGTGTGCATGTGCACCATAGGAAGGCAATGAGAGAAAGAGTGAGAGATACCTGTAGGATGTTCTTCCCAAAATCAGCTGTGAGATTGGTGCAGTTACTCATATCAATCAATGTCATGAAGTTTAATGACTTATCCAAGCCTGGAACCATAGTGAGTTTGGGCGAATCACTTACCTTCAACTCTGTCATATTTGACATTTCCGAAAAATTGGGCATTGTTTCCAATGCAGGGCAATTAGCGGCATACAAAAATTTCAAATTTGTTGGTAAATCAGGGATTGTACGAAGGTAAAGGCAGCCATTTAACCCCAATGTTTCAAGCTTTGTAAGACCACTTAGGCTAGGTAAGGTATGAAAATAATTCCATCCAAGATCCAAAAGAGTGAGATTCCTCAATCTAACTATAGAAGATGGTATTTGTCTTACGCCTGTGAAATCTGCTTCAAGTATTCTCAATGATTTCATCTCCCCTAAATCCTCATGCACTTCTCTGAATTCCAAACAGCCAGTAAGAAGAAGAGTCTCAACAGATTTCAACTTATAGAAATCCCTTGGAAGAGAACTAAGCTTTTCGCATTCTTTGAGGTTCACCAAAGAAAGTTTTTGAAGTTGACCAATGGAGGGGTGAATCTCGGACAAACTCTCACAATCTTCCAGTATCAACTCTTCAAGATTTGGGACCAGTGAAAAGTCCGGTGATTTAATTAGAGAGTAGGAACGACTGAGATTCAGGATTTTTAACCTCTCTAGCAACTGTTACAAAAAACCAAAGGAAAATTGAAATTAATATCCAAAAGGAAGATGTCATAAATAAAATAAATAAATAAATAAATAAAACAAGGAAATGCAAAAACAAATAGAAACCGAACATCATCATGTGTAATTGATTGTACCTTATAACCCTCCCAAACTTGTACCAGTTTGCTACACTGCATTTCTAAAACAACTAGTCTTGGTTGATCAAAAAAGTCATCTGGTATGGACTTTAAAGGGCATCCTACCCAACACAACCATATTAACTCTTTGGGAAGATGTTTGTATTCTCCAATGAGCTGAACGTCTTTCAGATGAAGGAATCTCAGTTTCTTCATATTGGCAAATGCTTCTGTACTAAAACTAGGCAGGCTAGAGCTTCGAGGCCAAGGATCAGGGAAATTTAGAGCAAGTCCTTCAACTTCTTCAGTTCCCTGTTAACAAAAGGTTATATTCATGTGTAAGAAACAGATTATTTGCATCTATTTACACGTATTATTATTCATTAGGCAAAATCACCTACACTGATTATATTTACACATAAATGTTGGTTAGTGTATAATAGACATACGTGGGTTATATATATGTTTTCAAGCAGGATGCATTATGCAAAATTTTATGGGGAATGTACTTACAGATTTATTTCTCAAGACTTCAGCGGCCTCTTGACGGTTCCACAACCTACTCCATTTTCCAGGATGACCAAGAGATTTTTCAGAAATGATTACTTTGGCCATTTCTCGAAGCAAATCATGCATATACAACTTGTTGCCTTCAACAGTTACAAGACATCTTTCACGGAGGACAACGATTCCTATTGATGCAAAAAATCCAGATCCATCTAATACTTTTGTGACGTAGTCCTTATCCTTTCCAATAAAGAAACAAGATATATCAAGAAATATAGCCTTCTCTAAAGAATCTAGCCCTTCAAAGCTTGTTCTGAGTTGATTCACAATGTTTCCATGTGGATATCTTCCCAATTTCTCCAATTGACTTTCCCACTCCACCAACGATCTTCTAATCAAAAGAGATCCTAAAACTTCAAGAGCTAGTGGTAAACCTCCACAATAAGAAACCACCTTTTTTGAAACTTCAAGATATCCTTGATTAGGACAACTATTTTTAAAGGCATGCCAACTAAATAGCTCAAGAGCTTCTTCTTCATTCATTTTCTTAGCCTGACATGCTCTGTCCACATTTAGTAGTAGACGTTCATCTCGTGTGGTTATGATAATTCTACTTCCAGGACCAAACCAATCATGACTTCCAACTATTGCATCTAGTTGTTCCACTTTATCTATGTTGTCCACGATGACAAGTATCTTTCTATGTCGAAATTGTTGTTTTATCAGACCAATACCTTCGTCAACACAGCTTATTTCATGCTTCTTTTTCAAGATGTTAGAAATAAGTCTTTTTTGCAAATCAACCAAATCATGTTTACTTGTAGCATCGCAAACGTCGGCAAGGAAACTTTTGAATTCAAACTGAGGATGAATTTGGTTATAAATGGCTTTGGCAGCTGTTGTTTTACCCAATCCACCCATCCCCCAAATTCCAACCATGAGAACATCATTTGATCCACCACTTGAAAGATAACTGATAATATCTTGAATGCGAGAATTGATTCCAACTATGTGCTTGGCCACATGTAATTCGTTAGCGCTGGTGAGCCATTCATAAATATTCTCGTCAATAAGTTTTTCAATGAACTTTGCTTCGCTCTTGAAAATTGAATTCGTAAGCATTAGTG